TGGACACTGGAAGGAAACACAGGATTGCAGGTGGATACTTTCAGCATTCCTAATGAACCTGTGAAACAAGATTCTCTATGCAAGAAAGACTCACTTCTTTATTTGCAGGTGAGAAATCTGGCTCCCTATTGACACATACTTGTCATGCATACCAAAACCAGTACTAACTTCCAGACTCCTCTGGTCCCTAGTGACATGTAGTATCAAAGTACTGCTACCCTAAATTTCCAGGGTGCTCCAGTTCACAGGATTCTCTGCCCACCCACAGGAAGCTGCTGGTGTTGTTTCATGACCCAGGAGGCTTTTCTCTGCTTCTGCACTTCTCTCTGCTCCCCAGAGAGATATCCCTGGCCATTACCAGGCTGCCTCTTGCCTCTCTCCCCCAGAAACTTAGCAACAGTTTGTACTCCTCAAATACCTCCCTCTCGCTATTTTCTCTTTCAGATCTATGACATAAACCTATTCCCCATCCATGGTTATACCAGTTTGGTAGCTTCTCTTCATGCTTGCATACACAAGTGACTTTATGTTTTATTCTATCTGAATGTAGAGATTTCTATCAAAGTAGGAGCACATATTCAATATTAATTTCAAATAGTATTTTCCTATCCTCACTTTCCAAACTGCAGCCGATAGATTATCTCCAGACATTTCCCATTATGATGGTGATAAACTGTCATTCTGTTCATCATTCCCTAATTGCTATTGACTTTAGTCTATTTTCTGAAGTCTTTGTAAGTCTCTCCAAGTTCATGCTATGCATTAGTGAGGATGTGACAAAGTCAATGTACTGGTTTAAAGAATATAGATTGGACTGGGAGTTGAGGAGAGATGAACAGACTTAATCCATTTCTTCTTCGATATGAGTCTCACTCTGTTACACCTCAGATCAAGTTTTCATGTTCCTTTCTTACGGCCATATAATTTTGCTTTCTTCTATTAATCCCAAATATGGGAGGATAAAGTTCACTGACACAAGTCACCATGGCTAAATTAATTAAAGCAAGCAATTAATTAAAGCAAGCTTCTTTTTTTTTATTCATGTGCATGGGCTGCCTGTCCCAAGGTGAAGTTTGAGAGGTCAGCATTGGATATGAGGAAGACAAGACTTTTACAGCTGAAGAGTAGGGGGTTTAAAAACGGAGGATTTGGTGAGCAAAATAGGTGGGATTATAGGAACAGAACAAGCACATTAGTTTTAGCAACCCCTTGTAACAAAGACATTGTTGTAAGGTGGCCAAAACAAGGTAGTCATAGGTGGTCATATCACCTTTTGAAGCCAAGGTAGGGTTTCAAGAAGGTTATAAATAACTTTCTGAAACAAAGACATATTTGACATTCTTGAAACAGGCAGTACAGAACTATTTGTAGTTGAGGTGACAGGCAGGCATATCCCAGTACTTGACAAACGTAGGTTTAATCATAAACAGGAATGAACCTACTTTGTCTTTACTATAAAATAGCTTATAAGCCTAAGATGTTGGCAGGCTAGTTCTTCACTTCCTTGCTCTTACAATCTTGTCAGTAACATTATTTTTCTCCGACTTTACACACTCGGATTTCTCATTTGGAAGTATTACTCTTTAGTTCTTAAGTACAAAGTTTATCACGAATGACTGCTTATTTCTCCACAAGTCATTGTGTGTGTGTGTGTGTGTGTGTGTGTGTGTGTGTGTGTGTGTGTGTGTGTGTATCGTGTATAGTGTACTTGGTGTCAATATAAGTGCTTTTCCTGAATAAAAATGTAACTGATTGACATATTAATGTTAATTATTTCATGGGTCAGGAGCTTTATTATCATAAAATGGAATTAAAGTTCAGTTTTGCAATGTAGATAAGATAGAATAAACGGGTGGAGGAGAAAGATATAAATTTGGGAGAAGAAATTCACATAAATTAGCTTAAAGAGAAATGAGTTATTTTAATAGGGTAGAACTTGAAAATATAACCACTAGGATTTTAATCAAGTTAAGAAAATATATTAAATATATTTTTATAAAGTTTACTCTGATTGCATGAAATGGGGCACATAAAAATCCAAAGCTTAGGCTCTTTTATTGTAACATGACATATTTTTGAGGACATGGACTGTGGCATCTCCATAAGTAAAATTATGTACTATTTAGATACATTTTTTGAGGTCATAAAATCCACAAGGGATATTTGATGTGCAGATTGTCCTTTGTGCTGATTGATATATTTGTATCTATGGTTATATTTTATTTGTGCTAAAATGTATGATTTTAGCACAAATAAAATATAACCATTCTGATAGTCAACTGCCTCCGCCACACTTTTACTGATATGTTTTAAATGGTGCTTTAAAAAAATCATCCTACCCAATACTGATATCATATTCCCACTTTTCCAATGGATTCTGGCTCTCTAATACAGTAAAAGCCAGCTTCAAAAAAGGCAGCTACCAGTAATCATTCTTGAATTCAAATATTGCTGCCTTATTTTTTAAAAGTGAACTATTATTAATGATTTTTTTGCCTTCTAGCTACATCACCAATTACACACACACACACACACACACACACACACACACACACACACACACACACACATATATATATATATATATATATATATATATATATATATATATATGAACCTGGAATGAATGTGTGTTTAAGGATATGAGATATACAAGACATGTTGGAGATGATAAAATGTATAATGTATGGAATTTTCAAAAGGGAACAAAATAATTTTGACTATTGTCATATGCATACGCAAGGTGGAAATGAGCACATGCTATCAGTACAATATTCCCCTCTATCCCTCCATATTCTATCACATTCTCACCTGGACCACTCAGTTAACCTCATAAAATGGTTTCTACTTATATTTTGACACTTTCCCTTCTCCAGCAGCATTTGCTTTTTAAGGTCAAAATTACAAAAACTCAGATCTGGTTTCATTGCCTTATTAACCATTTTAGGAGCTCTCAGCTGTAACTATGGAAAATAAACAAACAAACAAAAGAAAACAAGAACAACAAAGAAACCATCAGACAGGATAACACAATTCTCTTACATTATCCAAGAACCTACATTTTATATTCTCTCCCTTGACTTCGGGTGGCAGCCTTCAAGCTACTTGAAAATGACATGTTCCCTCTGACCACCAGGCCTCTTCCTAGCATCCATTCCTTATCCCTTGGCCCCCTAACAAAGATATCTCAGTCTATCCTGCAACTCCTTCCTGCCCAGTCTCTTTACCTATCAGAACAGTGGACTTGGGGAAGCACCTTCATACTTTACTGTTAATGAAATCTGAATAATAGTACGTTACTTTTGTTCAGTTTCCTACTTCGCAGGTTTTATGATAACTAAAAAGGTTGTGCTCCTAAGGCATAGAAAGCAGAACAGAAAATGCTGACCAATTGTTAACGCCCTTTTAGGAGTGTTTATAGCCAGGTGGCTACATCTAATAAATGCTCTTTCTATTTTTTCCAACAGCAAGGATTCAAAGTTATTCCCAACATCTTCACATAGATAATGATAAGAAGGATTTACTTCCCTGGATCACCCATCAAGGTATTTTTTGGCATCTTGCTTCCCTGTGGATTTATCCCCTTTATTATTACATCTCTTGAACTTAAGAGTATTTAAAAAATTTATTTCCTCTTTTTTTCTATAAATTTGATGCTTTTTTGTCTCAATCTCTTTTCTCTACTTTTATGTGTAACAATGGATATTCCTAATATATTCTAGTCTAGTCTAGTCTAGGAATAAAATCCTGGATTTTATATGAATGATATATAAAGAGCAATTTTCCATGACTCAGAAAAGTTGGTACCATGACTTCTCATGGGATATCATTGAATAATTCCCCCTTTTCCCTCATCATTCCTTGGCTACCTAATTTGGACATAACATAGACAAGTACCGTGAATAAATTTTACAGTAAAAGCAAAGTTATTTGTGTGCTCAAAAATATATACTATTCACAGCTGTGACAATGGTCAATCATACAGAGTAAAGTATATTTTTAAGCAATAGTTTTAATACATTTTGCAATTATAAAACTTGATTTTTATAGTAAAAAAACTTGGCATAAGAACTTTTCTTCATAGTTACAATTAGAGAGATCATGAAGTCGTTAAAACAAATGTATCCTTGTTACTGAGAATTGGCTTTTTCTTTCTCTTCCCAATGCAGCTGAGGTTTATTTGCTAGAAAAACCCAGTCCTATTATGTCTTGATATTTAATTAAAGGAGATCATTGTTGTAGATTTGCCACAGGGTTGATTATGTGCTGTAATTAATACTATGCTATTGACTGGGCTCTTCCAACACCTGTTCAGAATTCTTCCAAATCTCTAAAGTAAAAATATTTTCTCTTTTTCCCTTTGGTAATTGTCTCTCCTCCTTTCCATCCTGTCTTTATATCTGATGATGAAAAGGATTTTTTAGCAGTTTGGTTTTTTTCTCTTCTTCTTTTCTTTCTGAGGTTGACAAGTATTTAATTTGGATATCTGACAACATACTCCTTAGCTTAGAATGAATCTGTCACAGAAATGATATTCAGTGTGCTAGGGCTGACTTTCAAACTGCTATCATGGTTGTTTCTTATTACAGTATCTAACAGAAGGAATTTGGCCAGTGACTGGGAGCAGGGCCGAGGTGTCATGCTGTACTTAGCTTCTCGGCTATCGGCGTGATAAAAATAGGTCCCACCACTGACCACTGCTCCCACTCTGTCATAGAATCCAGACAAAAAATATGAATCAAATACTGCCTTGGTGTTCCAACTTTCATCTAAGTTCTTCACGTCTATGGAACAAAATGCTCCATGTAGAATTCTGTATGGAAGTACAGAAAACTGTCACTGCCTCTTGTGTTTATGGGCATTACAGCACTATGTAAAATGTCACGTTTCACAGTACAAAGTTTACACATCTGGACACAGCTGATCAATCTGTGCGATGTGCAAAGGTCATGGAGGTTGGGTTGTGAAAAGTGCTATTCTTTTGATGTATAAATGTCTGTCATATTTGTGTCAGAAAGCACAGATACTCGTGACCTAGCCTTATAACCAAACGACCTTCAGAGTAGACTCTCTCTGCCTTAGGTATTTGCTATATTTACGTGATCTTAATCTTCCAAGGCAGTCTATCAGGGTGCATATAAATACCACTTCCCTTGTTTTAGTAAAATATCCTGGCAAAGTCTCTTTAGAGTACTTGTAACGTTTCAGTCTTTTCAGGAGAACAAGAATGAAGCCTAGGAGAGGAAATATCATGCAAACTAACAAAGAGAGAAAGAAGTAAGAGAGGTTGCTCTTGGGAGGGCATTTGTTTAAGCAAAGTAAGAGTGATTAGCTTCTGTCACCTGAAGAACTAGCAGGCCTGCAGTGTCTGTTAACGTCTAATTAAACATGGTTAAAAAAATCTTAAATACTTCTGAACTGAAGTATCAGTTTCCAATTATCAATTATACAATTTCTCTGTATGATTAAATTATATTATGTCCTAAATAGAATGAAATGTACTAACCCCAGTGCCATTCTTCTTTCCTTTTGAGCTCTTAAAAAAGGTAACTCTACACAGGTAGATACAACATTACCACCCAGGAAAACAG